TGAGTCACGTATCCCCAGCTAGACCAAAACAACTCTGGGCAGGGATTTTGCCCCCGTTTTGTCTAATACATAACATGTCCGGCATTTTTACAGCGCCAAGTAGGGCAGACGCACAGCCAATGTTTGGGCTTCAGCGCCCCGCTCCCTTAAACAGTAGATGGCCAAAGACCAGGTACCCTCTGCCTGAAGGAGAGCAGGGGCTCTCTGCCATGGGCTCTGGCTCAAGACCCAGCTTCTCCTAGCAAGAGGCCTCTCAAAAGAGGGAAGGCCTGAGGGCGCCGCTGCAGCAGAGCAGACCCAGGCGCTGTGGCGGGGACCCAACAGACTAGCACAGGACGGAGTCTTCAGCCTACGCTTTCTCTCCGGCAGGCGGAAGATAAATGCAGCCTCTGGGCAGTGCCCAACGGGTGTTGCCAACCATGACCCTGGCCTCTGATTTCTTTCCCTTCTTCCCCTTACTTCCCCCCTCTTCCTCTTCACCCTTCTCCCAGCCCTGCCTGGCTTACCCCTGCCCGTGGGTGGTTCCGCAGATGGATGGAGCAGGTCAGGGGAGAGGTCGGAGTCCTTGCCTTTGATTGCGTCAGCTCTCTGTGGGGAAGTCAGGGGTGGGATCCTTCCACCTCCAGGCCCCCATTTTTCTTTCAGGCACTTGGGTGGGAGTAGTCTGCCTTCGTTCCTAGGAACATCCATTCTAAATTTGGATGCCTAAAAAATCGGGCTGAGTTGGTTTCCGTCTTTGGAAAAAAAAAATTATTCTCAGTGGGGCATGGATGGAAGTGAGGAGTCAGATTCCCATTCTTGGGGTAGGGCTCAATTCATTTTGTGCTTTTGATTGCTAAAATAATCATTAATTAACATTTCCCCAGGAGCAGCTGCTTTGAGACCTCCTCAGTGTACACTGTCGACCTCACTGCCAGTTCTCCCTGCCCACAGCCTCAGGCTTGGCCAAGTCTGAGCGGCATAGATATTTACGGTTCTGAGCGTGGCCCCAGTGGCTTGAGAAAAGATCAGATCCCCCAATCTCCTAGTTCTTTTATCTGTCCCCCCTCCCCCCCCAACCCAGTACACCAAAGTTTGTCTCTGGTCTTCCCCACCCCCTCCCAACCCCTCCAACCCTAACAATAATCCATCATTGTTATCTCATTTGGTGTTTGCAAAGCACTTTACAGCCATTGTTGTGAGTTTTTCCTCTTATTTGCAAAGTACTTCACAACTATTATTACAAGTCTTTCCTTTGGATGTGGGGTAATGCTGACCCACTTCCTAGAGCTGGCTTCCCACTGACTTCTAAATGGTTGGGTCAATTCCCATGGTGCCCAGCACCGGGTGGGTGGGGCTTTCAGAAGTCGAGGTTTTAGCTGTGCCCTTCTGCATCAGAATCAGGGTTGGAAACTGGCTTCAGACTGCTGCCCACTGCCCTCAGGAAATTCCACCCTACGCAGTTCTAACGAAGGAGTGAGAGGTAATTGTTACCAAGGCACACACCTCCAGATAGGAGTGCTGGTTTGGGACTCACAGCTTGTGGCCTCCCATGTTTTCCCAGAGTGGATGCTAAGCAGCAGAGTTTGAATTTCTCCTTCCTTCAGTCTGGGGAGGCGGTGGGGGAGGAGAGGGGAGGGGGTGAATATGTTTCAAATGTAAGAGAGTAAGATAATCCCTTCCTCCGTAGTGGACTAGGAGTCTGTTGACGTGACCAAAAATTTGTTTCATTTTTATTTTTTTAATCAGAATTTTAATACAAGCCATCATGGCATTACAGAATGGTGCTTTGTTTTTTGTTTTTTAAAGAAAAGTCCGTACACTCGAACTACCCTGACAAGGTTCCTTTCATGACATTGCATGTGCTGTAGTTTCAATATAACATGTTAGGTATGCATTTTCCTCTATCGTTACATCGTCTTTATAATAATCGTTTAAAATCGTGTAGCAGTTCATTGAGTAGGTTGGATGGCAATTTGTTGGTAGAAAATATGGAAACTTGTGTGGCTTTGAAGATGTAGTGGGTTGTGGGGAAGACATGGCGTATCTGATGGGCACTTGTAGGAAGCATGGCCTTGACCTTCCATTCAGTTCTTCTCTTTGGCCGCTGTTGTAACACCTGACCTTTCAATCTAGGTTGGACTTCTGCACTTTCTACCCTAGACAAGAAGTTTCTACCGCACAAACCCTCAACTTGGTTAAGGTGTGTTCTGAAAACGAACTGAGTAACACTATTACTCATTTTCCATATTCTGGCTCGATTTCCCCCAGTAGGCCATTCACATTTTGAGAGGAAGACTCTCTCAGCTCCTGTAACATCTGTCAGAGTGCTTAAATAGCAGATGCTCAGTAAATGTTTGTCAGTGATAAATATGTATTTGCCAACCTCCAGTGCTTTTCCCTGGCAAGTACTAAAGTTGCTTGACTGTGTAATCTGTTCTGTGAGGTGAGCATGAAGGAGTTTCTAAGGCAAACCTTTGTGTTGGCTTCTCAAAGCAGCACAAGGCTTTGGCCAGCAAAGACCTAGGATCGCTAGGGTGGCTTCTTCATTTAGATTCTGTCCCCACATATTAAACAATTAGTGTGAAGAGATAAAAAGGGGAACGGATTATGAGATTTTGTCTCTGGAAACTTCTTTAGATAAACTGGAATGTAGGGAAGAAGCCAGATAGCTTATCTTTAACAGGAGAAGATAATCATCTGTGAGAACTACACGCTGAAATATTTGTGAATGAAATAGTAGAATGTGGGAGTCAGGGGGAGCGTGGGCAGAGGTATAGACTGGGCACAAACTGTTGGAAAGCTGAATGGTGATGAAATAAGAGTTCATTTTTATATTCTGTCCACTTTTGAATATGTTTACATTTTTTCATAATAAAAAAATAGAATAAGAGGATTGCCTTAGGTCGGGACTGGTGAGATGATGTAAAAATATTCTCCATTCCCAGGCATGATTTTATACTGCCATGCCTTGTCTTGGTTCATTGTTGAGGTTGTAGTGCCATCTAGCGTTCATTGCAAACACTCCCAAAACAATGACCTTGCAAGTGCCCCTCCTGCGGCTGAGGTCCTTCTGTGAACTCTCCCGGCCTGCTCAGTTCCCTCAGGGAAGGCCTGGGCTGAGGGAGCAGGGCTAACCAGCCCCAGCAGGGGCAGTCTGTGCTGGCCTGGAGGTGAAGGTGAAGGTGGCCATGTTGGCGCTGAGCGTGGCGGCAGGTTGTTGCTCAGTCCACACCTCTCCCAGGCTTGGGGAATCAAGCTGTGCCCAGGAGTCGCCTCTTCCTGGGCTGCTGTGCAGGCAGGTGACCTTGCTGGAGGGTTCTCAGTGTGACCCAGGTGCAAAAATAGCCTCCTTGTGACCAGTGTGTGCTCAGCTCCCTAGCCTGAGCAAACAGCCCCTCACACCTGCACATTGTTGACTCGGGTGTAGACACACGGCTACTTGTTTGCAGGTGCAAATGACTGTTTGTGTACCCAGAGTTGAGGGGAGGGCCCCCCACCATCCTCTGCTTCAGCCCGCTGTTTCCTTAGAGCAGGTATCTGGGTCACAGAAGTAGCAGAAAGCGCAACCTTAAACCCCAGGGCTGGGCCCTGGTGGAGGGAGAGCTCTTAAAAATCCTCCCCTCCAAATATCTCCCCTCTTTACTAGAGAAGAATTTTTTTTTTTTTTTTTTTTTGCCTCTGGTGGTAGGGCAGGAACAATCTGGACACCAGGGTAGCTATATTTAGGGTCAGAAAAGTTGGAAAAGATATAAACATTTTTCAAAACAAGGAGCAGTGTACAAGGAGTCAGAGAGACTTCTGGAAGTCCTGAGCCAGGCTTCCCATAGATGGTAGGGGAGAGCAGAAGTGGCACAGCCAATTTCACCAGGCCAAATAAAGTTGACAGGAGTGGAATTTATCAACTGTACAATTCTACAGACGTGGAAGGTAAAGGTAAAGGTAACGGGCGGGGGAAGGGCAGTGAGCGAGTGACAAATGATGGCGACTTGGCTGTGGAATGTGATCAACTCTGTCACTGCTGCTGTAATAGTGTCTTTCATGTACCAGTAAGCAAGAACAGACATCAAATTGTGATACAGGATATCACACAGGTATACTGAAATGAGAAAAATGAATTACAGCCTTCTTTTTGTTTTTGCATGGCAGTTTGAAAATTTCAAGAACTTTAAAAAACATGTAGTCCCTTTTGGTTCATTAATTCTACTTCTAGGGGAGTATCCTAAGAAATGACCAGAGAGGCTAAGATTTGTGTACAAAATGAGCAGTGTTTACAAAGCGGAAATCAGAACCTGGGTAACGATGAAAGAAAAGGTCAATAACAATAGTTAAAGGTGCTGCATTTCTGTGATAGGATATTGTACTGCACTTAAAATGAGCTCATGAAGAATTTCTAGGGTAGGGAAGGGCTTTGGTGTTAAATGAAAAAACAGGCTCAAAATTATATATTGACCTCAATGAAAAATATATGTCAATATATATAAAGTATTGCAAAGATATGAGAACGAAATGTTAATATCACTGGTGATCTTCAAATTACAGGATTATGTATGATTTATATTTTTTTACACATTTCAGTGTTTCCTGATTTTCCTGAAGTAAATATTTATTATTTTTATTCAGAGGGAAAAAGGAATCTTAATTTTGAAAGGGAAAAAAGGGAGCGGAGCTCAGTGTTAGGTGAGAACCTTGAGGTTCCAGGGCCTGAAGGACAGATGAGGGCCTAAAATCAGGCTGCCGGGGGTCGCTGCCAGACTCCCCACCTTTCCGCTGGCGAGGGAGAGCCCTGCCTGCTGTGTCTGGGATGTCCAAGAGTGACAAGGCCCGCTTCCCACGACGGTGCTCTGAGCAGAGCGACCCCGCTGGGGTGGGGTCGGAGCGAGGAAGCCTGCGGCCCCCAGGCGGTCCATCCTTCACTCTGTGCCAGGAAGGGGCCTTATTTCTTTGGTCTCTAGATTTTTCTGACGTTAGGTTAATGAGAATAGACGAAGAATTAATCCTCTGTATTATTTCCCACCCAGTAGATATGTTTGATGACTTCTCGGAAGGCAGAGAGTGTGTCAACTGTGGGGCCATGTCCACCCCACTCTGGAGGCGGGACGGGACAGGGCACTACCTGTGCAACGCCTGTGGCCTTTACCACAAGATGAACGGGATCAACCGGCCCCTCATCAAGCCCCAGCGCCGTCTGGTAAGCAAGTGCCCAGACCACAGAAGTCCAGCAGCCTTGGCTGAGGGCGGGGAGGGCGCCTTTTTCTCCTCTCAGCACCTGGCTTCAATGCTCCTACCTTGGTGGGAAATGTCCTGGTTCAAGTCATCTTTAAAAGAAGGTGCAGTGTGAGGGGTTGGGTGGGCGGGTATGGGCTACATAGTAATTTCTTACACCTTTAGAGTTAGCTTGAGCTACAAGTTTGTTCTAGGTGTTGACCTTGAATCCCCAGATAGTCCTCCAGCAAAATGGGTTTATTCTGGAACAATAAAGATTTGTAATTCAGAACCTGGGGTCTCGTGGTGAACCATAACAAGCCCAGATGACAGAGGAGAGGAACAACCTTTTTCAGAGGAAAGCAGGAGTTCAGAGGGGCTACTGTAAACAAAGAGTCCATTGGGAGTTCAAAGTGTAGTGGTTTTTCATGGGCTGAGCTGTAACAGTCTTTCGGGGAGAGAAGACCCTCCTTCTATCGGCTGGAGTGGCAGAGCAGAAACACACCTTCCTGTTGGAGATGGAACTTGTGTCTCTCCTTGGAGTAGCTGATGAGCGGTCAGGCAGGAGAGCGCCCCCTACAGGCATTCCCAACCTCAATTGAAATGAGGTTTCTCTTTATTAATCTTCACAAGAACATCTCATTCAAGCCTTAGTTATGCGGAAGTGACAAGTGAGGTTCAGAAAAGCTGCCTTGCCTGCGGTCCCACGCGAGTGAGTCCAGACGTCCTAGTGTCTAGTCCAGCCTTGTCTCGTATGGCTCTCCTGGCTTCTCGTCAACCCGAAGAGGGAGGTCGACTCTTCCTTTATATATTGTACTTGCCTTGTTTTCAGGGAGGTCGAGTCTTCCTTTATATATTGTACTTGACTTGTTTTCAGTTAATCAACCCCAAACCCAGGGACGTTAAGCAGTGTGCATTGAGCCCATGGCTGAGAAAGCGTTTGGAACTGAGTTTTTGATTCTTGGGTCGTGGTCTTTTCTTACTACAAATTGATTTTGACCAATATGACTGCCTTTCGTGTGTATTAGGGAGGGAAGAACAGAGGCGATAAATGCGGGTGTTTTCCTTTCTTGAGGTCCCGCAGCCCATCCAGTCTCTGACGACACTTGGATACAATGAATTCTCACCCACCACCCGTGCCCGGCACCTGGAAACCACATTAATTCTACTTTTGGGAGAAATCTTTCTGCCTACAGTGCTCCGTGCTCCCTGGGGTTCCCATCTGGCGTGGAATGACGAATAATACCATTAAAACTAGTTAGGCCCCATTCACTCTCCTACAGCAGAAGTTTCCCACCCCAGGGGCGGCTCGGGTACGGGGGGCCCTGGCGCTCCGGGCGGGCGGTCCGAGATGCTCCCGCAGGACTACGACGGCCGGCTCCCACCACCCATGCAGGGAGGGCCCGGCGCCGCAGCACTCCCCGCGAGGTCGGAGCGGCCTTTGCCTCGGGCCTCAAGGGTTTGTCTCCTCTGCCGCAGTCCGCTTCTCGCCGGGTGGGCCTCTCCTGCGCCAACTGCCAGACCACCACCACCACGCTGTGGCGACGCAACGCGGAGGGCGAACCCGTGTGCAACGCCTGCGGCTTGTACATGAAGCTCCACGGTGTAAGTAGTCCCTGCCCCGAGGCTGGACGGCCGCCTGGACCAGCATCGTGGTCTTCCAAAGCCCATCACTCAGTTCTCGCTTGTCTTCCTCCCTTCAGACTGTAACTTAGTTTTTTCCTCCTTAAAGATGCTTAGATGGGGAGGGGACCGTACAGACTGTATTAGCCCGCTCAGGCTGCTCCAGCAGAACGCCAGAGACGGGGCAACTCCTAAATAGAAACTTCTTTCTTTCTTACAACCTGGAGGCTGGAAGTTGGAGATCGGTGCACCAGCACACGCGGGTGAGGGTCCTCTTCCAGGTCACACGGTGCAGGGATGAGGGAAATCTCTGGGCCCTCTTTTATGTGGGTACTAATCCTATTCATGAGGGCTGAGCCTCATCACCTCCAAAAGGCCCCCTCTCCTAATACCATCACCTTGGGGGAGAAGTTTATAACATAATTTTGGGTGGGGGGCACACACACGGGCTTTCATACTATAGCAGAAACATTGCCCGTCGCTTCATCTTTAACATTGTATATGTCTAATTCCCATTTTATAAATGAGGAGACTCAGAAGTAATCTCTCTATATGGTAGTATGATATAGGACAAAGGCAACAATTCAATGGAGAAGCGACGGCTTAAGAATAACTGTATTGACAAAACCTGGAAAACAAAAGCAAAGCTTGACCTCCCCCTCCTACCAAAAATAAACTTGGGTGAATTATAGCTATGAAATGTAAAACATCTTTAAATAGAGACAATAAAAAGAACAGAAGAAAACGTAGGGGAATAATATTTATATAACCTTGTGGGTGAGAGGAGAACTCGTTAGGCAAGTTTTCAAAACCCTTAAGCCGTAAGATAAAAGTCAAATATATTTGATTGCAGAACATTTCATATTGGTGTATGGAAAGGTACCTGAGGAAGGTAAGGGCCAATACATTTATCAGAAGAAGGGTTAATATTTCCAGAATACAGGGAGCTTCTACAAAGCTCTTTATGTTCTCATTTGCAACAATCTCCATTATATAGTGCTTCGAAAAAATCAGTGTAGAATATGCAATATTGTACCGTTTTTATGAAGAGAGGGGAAGAGCGTAATTTATATGTCGTTACTTACCTATACATAGAACCCCTCTGAAGGATACATGAGAAACTGGTAGCACATTGCATGCATTGCCTCAGGGAAAAGCAACAAGAGAGTTGGAGGGACACTTTTTGCTGTTTACCCTCTTGGTTCCTTTTAGATGGTGTATGTGCACATCTTATTTGTTCAAATATAAGTTAAACTAAAACAACACGAGCAAACAAACAAACAAAAAAGAGATCCTATAGACACATGAGAAAATGACAATCAATCTTCCTTCATTTCCCAAAATGGGCAAAAGATAGAAACAGACGGCTCACAGAAGCAGCTCAGCTCGCCACTGAACGTGTGCAGACAGGGTGGGCCTCACTGAAAACCAGGGAATGTCAATTAAAACCACGCTGAGATTCCGTCTTGCCCACATATTTGGCAAAAATTAAAATCCGTGATAATATGTAGCTGCGGTATGGATTTGGGAAAAGAGATACTTTCATACTGTATATTGTTGATTTGTGTGTGAATTACTGTAAATTTTCTTTCAGGAAATTAGCAGTGCTTACTAAGGTCCAGAACACACATACCTTTTGGTGTAGCAGCTCTACTTTTGGGAAATTAGCATATAAAACAATGAAAGAATCAGTACATAATAACGTTTGAACTATGTATTGCTGCAGTGTTTGTACTGGCAAAAACTGGAAAAAATCTTCAAGCCTCATAAAGGAATGGTTGAATAAATTATGGCACATTCTATAGCATAGAATGTTGTACAGGAATTAAAAAAGAATAAGTTTGGGCTATGTATCTTGGCCTGGAGCAATAAAAAAAAAAACCACATTGCAAAGAAATATATACATAGTATGACTGCATACTATGGAGGTGAGGGCACATTACACACACACAGATACAGATGGAAGGATGGACAGATGGATGAGTACATACATGTATAAATATGTACATGTGCACACCTGGTTGAGAATTTTGTAAATGTAGGCTATTACTCCAATTGCCTCATGGGGCCAGGATTGATGGTAGTGGGGTGGGAGGGGTTGTTACTAATTTCATGCGTGGCTAAAAGATGTCACTGGCCAGGCCTCAAAGAAACCAGAAGTATGGAAGGCACAGTATTTTAAAATATTAGAAAGATGCAGACTTGCTCCCAGACACTTGTTTGGGCCTCTGTGAATGGCTCAAGGGCAGGACGCCAGACAGTCACTGCTCGTTTATGAGACATGAGATGGGATAAAGGTATTGTCCACAGACAGTTTCGGCATGGGCCATAGCTCGGTCACTCCAGCAGAATCTCTCGCTGCTGCCATGGAAACACCACTGCTGGCTCGCCTTGGATTCAAGGCAGTGAAAGCTGCTCTAAGTAGAGAGACCTTACACCCTGATTCACGGGGACTGTCCTTGTTTACGCCTGCTTTTTTGGCATAATTATTAAAAAGTGCACCACCCTTTCACTCTCATAATGTCCTCATGTGGCTGATAAACGAAAGGTTTTGGCACATGCTGTTCCTGATGCCCGAAACCCCTGCCCCCGTCTGCTCCCCAGCGTCCTATAACTCAGATGGCGCCTCTTCGGCGAAGCCTTCCTCGACGTGCTCATGTGCCCACTTCCCCTCCTTCCTACCCCAGGACAGAGTGCTCCCACATCACCTATGAGTCGGGTTATTTTCTATTTGTTTGTCATTCCCACTAAACTGTCAGCCTCTGGAGGGAGGGATCTGCATGTTTCAGTCTCTTTCTTCAGGGTCTAGTATAATGCCCAGCATGTAGTAAAGGTGTCCAATACAGTAAAAAATAAAATAAAATAAAATAGAATTTATTTCTTTCTTGGGAGGAGCTCCAGAGGCTGATTTAGTTTTAGCTCCAAGGATTATAGAGGAATTACTTAAATGTTGCCTTCCCATTGTGTGTGTGTGTGTGTGTGTTTAAATACTGTAGCTAATCTTGTGCATGTTGACTTGTAATCCCCTAGGTTCCCAGGCCTCTTGCAATGCGGAAAGAGGGAATTCAAACCAGAAAACGGAAGCCCAAGAACCTTAATAAATCTAAGACACCAGCAGGTGAGAAGAGCTGTGCGTAGTTATACAAATAAGCCTGTAGCCCTTGGAGTGTGAGAATGTGTTCTTAGGTGAGCGAGCTGCCAAGGTGTAACATTGGCGCCCTCCCTCCCAGCTTTTCAGAACAAAATGAATAACCTAAATAACAGTAACATCACTGTGGAACATCCTGGGAGCCTTTCAGGCAGGCTCAAGTCAAGCCTCATCATTGCCTGTCGCAAAGGCTGCAGCGGGCCAGCTGGACTAGTCAAGGGCCTGGAAGAAAAGGGAATGTTACTCGGTCCCTCCATCTTTGGGATCTAGGGAGACAGGGTGCCCTTAGTCCTGTACACAACAGACTGATTGGTAAGTCAGTGGATGATTCACATCATGTGGTACTTTGTGCTTTAGGAAGGATTTTCACAAATACCTCATTGAACCTTAAAGACAACCATAAGACCCCGTTTATTATCCCCGTTTTCCAGATGAGCAAACTGAGGCTCAGAGAGGGCAGGGCCTTAACCAGAATCATACAGCTGTGGATCGGTAGGTAGATCAAGAATGAAACCCCAGGTTTTTACCCTGCAGGGTCCAAATGCTATGAAAGTTACCGCCCTGCCTTCTAAGTTTCTAGGTTAAGACTGAGGTTGACTTATGTTCCTTCTCAAGAGTACTTTCTCCTCAGTACTGCTACCAAATTAAAGATTGCACTGCGAAGTGCCGTAGTCACAGAAAAAAAATAAATGGCTGATTTATCGTCTAATCTAAGGCATGACAGTCAGACAGATTTTCCCTTTCCACTGCCGAGAACAGGACCGAAGTCGTCCTTTTCCAAGTTCAACAACGGCTAACCCCCGGCCAACCCCCTCTGGCAGCCGTCTTACTAGACCTTTCCCTGCCTCACACCAGTGGTCCTCTTCCTTTCTCCGGTTGCCACACTGTTTATAAGTGCCCCGGCCCCTCGCCCCCCATAACTGCATCTCCTTACATGTTGCTGTCTGAGGGAGAACAGGCATTGGTTCAGGCGTATAGAATCCCTATCTGAAATTCAAAGTCCGGGGAGCTAGATTTAGCAGCAACACCTAATCTGAATATACATGAACTATTTATAGTCTTTATCTGCCCTGCATATGAATATTCATGTGACTTGCTGTAGAACTATTAATATATTTAAATATGGTGCTGTCTACAACCCCATTGGAGGTGTTCTGTGGCGTACAGTATATACCCTTTTTAAAATCAAAAAAAGTTTGGAATCCTGGAACACATGTGGCCTCAGGGGGGTTGGGATAAGGGGTGATGAGCCTGTTTCAGAAAAGCTCCCTTAACCACTGCCCTCCAACGATGAAGGACCCCTGCTTCTCTCCCCAGCTAATGTAAATAAGCCATTAGCACAGACCTGCCTGGGGCTGCCTCAAAGGACGGCCATGTGTTTGTCCCTGACCCTGGTCTGGGTGTCCTGACTCTGCTCCCTTCCAGGTCCCTCGGGCAGCGAGAGCCTCCCTCCCACCAGCAGCGTCTCCAGCGCCTCCAGCACCGCGACCACCAGCAGCAGGGAGGAGATGCGCCCCATCAAAACAGAGCCCGGGCTGGCGCCCCACTACGGCCACAGCAGCGCCATGTCCCAGGTGCGCCCCTGCGCAGGGAGACAGGACTGTCCCGGGGAAATGGGCTCCCGGGTACCAGGTGGCCGGCCCACACTGGCCCCTGGATCGCATGGCTGAGGGCGCTCCTCGCTGCCCTGGGGACCCCGCCAAGGCTGGGGCCGCCTGAGGGTCTACGTCAGCACTTCCTGTCCAGGACAATGATTTGGACACCCAACTGTGAGATACGGAAGTTTGGCAGCTCCTCTGTCTCCTGAGTGAGGGGTAGTTTGACCTTGGCCTTGAAGGATGGGTAGATTCTAATAGGAAGAAGGGGAGGAGGGGGACCCTCCTGGCGTGGGCAAAGGCGTGGACACTGTAGAGGGCAAGGTGGGTGGGGTGGGGCTGGTGAGGAGTCACAGGCAGGGTGTCATTTTAATGAGGGCCAGCTGCAGGTCCAACTTCCTTGTGTGCCCAGAAGATGGACCGGCAGTCCCCTCAGTCTCTTCTTTTGCATATAATGACATCCCTGCTCCTCCACCCCCTTCCCTCTGTGGCTCCCCGCATTTGAGATCAGTATGTTCCTGGTCACAGTCTCCCATAACTCTCAACTCTTCCTCACCCATCCCTGTGGGAGGCTGGGTCCTAACCAGCCTTTTACTGCCAGGGTGAAGCTGGTTCTGCAGCCAGAAGAGCCCCGGGCTGCTTCTGGGTGGGGAGGGGTTACTGATTGAAAGTGGAGATCTGGTGGCGGTGAGATTGCAGCAAAGGTCTCACGTAACTATCAGAGCCTTCAGAGAAACCCGAACGGTTGCCAGCCTACAGGGTCTTGTCACTCAGAAGCAGCCGACCACTCACACAGACCCTTTGCCTCCCATAGCACAGGGGTACAGAAAACAGAAGTGGCGCTGGGTCCCTTGTCCTGCCCTTGTCCTTTGGCCCTCTCCTCTGATCCCTCTCCTAGGGGTGGGAGCCACCCTGGGAACATCTACGTGATGGGGCTCCCCCTCTTCAGCCCAGGCGCCCCCCGCACCGGCCCTCGAGCCCTCAGGAAGGATTCCATTGACCTCATCTTGCACTTTTTTGCTTTCAGACGTTCTCGGTCAGTGCGATGTCTGGCCACGGGCCCTCCATCCACCCAGTCCTCTCGGCCCTGAAGCTCTCCCCGCAAGGCTACGCGTCTTCTGTCAGCCAGTCACCGCAGGCCAGCTCCAAGCAGGACCCTTGGAACAGCCTGGCCTTGGCTGACAGTCACGGGGACATAATCACTGCATAATGCCACCTCCCTCCCTCCTCAGATTCCTGCAGACTTGGGCCTGGGAGAAGGCAGAGATGCGGCGCTGGGCTCCCCGCGGCCAGCCTGCTCTGTCTGGGAATGACTCCGGAAGAACAACTGGGAAGACACTTGAAGTCGATGATTTGGTTAGGGGAAGTGGATGCTGCATTTTTATCAGATGCCTTCTCAACACCGGGGACTGGGAGGAGCCCGGACTCTGATCTGGATGCATGCACCCTTCACTAGGAGCACACTTAAGTCCCTTTCATGGAGTTAGAGACATCCTTCTCATTTTCTGCCCCGCTCCACCCCTGACAAGAGATGAGATCCTTCTCTACCTTTCCATCACTGACCTATGATGGTGGTTTTTCCACGGTGTCTCGGCACTGGGGATATGAGGGTGGGCAGAGGGGCAGGGTGCTGGGACGCCTGCTCCAGCCTGGGCCGGGGCATCTGATGTGCCTTTGGATGTGACAGGCCCCTCCGGGCAGCTCCTGCCCTTGCCCTACACTCCCCTTCAGGCTCAGCACACCCCTGCCTCCCTCAATACTGAATCTTGACTCCAGAAACACTGGGCGTGGCGCCCGTGTCACTGGGTGCTCCCTGGGGAGATGGTGGAGAGGCTGCTTCGCCCACTACACAGCACGACTTTGGCACCGTCGCAGCTTGGCAACTGGGCCTCCCCCGCGTTTCTTTCCCTGGCTCACGGCCTCATTCCTTCCCACCTTCTCTTCACCCCAAGGTCTCTGAAAATAAAAATCCCTTCCACTGCTCCACATGATTCAGCTCTGCCTTCAACTTGAATGTGTTTCTCCCTCAGCAAAACAAGAGCCTGGCAGTTTAGCCAAACAGCAGCACCCCCTCACCTGTCCCCCAAAATTCTTCCTGCACCCCATCCCACACAGGGGGTTCTGAGAGAGAACAAAGAAGGTTCTGCTGCTAAAGCAAGTTCGACTTAACGCTCATCTAAGACTTGCGATCCTCCTGGAGAGGCCATCAGGTGGACGCTGGCGGGGGGGGCGGCGGGAGGGCAGGGTTTTCCAGGGATGCTGAGTCACCTGCGCCCGGATCTTGCTGATGCCACTTCCATCCTGCAAGGCTGCGCCGCTGGGCCAGACAGCAGGCCGAGTCCGCAAGGCGTGCGCAGTGCCCGTACCCGCGTCCTTTCTCCAGCACAAATCTCTGGTCCAGGAGGAGAAAAGCTCCCAGGGATTTTGCAACATAAATTCAAAGCAAATAAACACAACAAAACTCACAGAAAGAAAGATGACGACCGAGAAGACACTGAGGTGGCCTCGGGGGCTCTCCAGCGCTGCTCTGGAATCGGCCTTTCTCTGGTCTCCATGTTGCTGTGACCTTGGGGCTCACAGACTCCTCCTCCTGTGTCCTCCTTGTTAACAGAGCTGTCGCAGACTGTGGCCTTACTACATCCTGCCCCAAAATGCCCAGCTCCCCACCCAAAAATCCTACAGGCTGTAGCAGAGAGTATCTCTAAACCAAGATTCTGTTTTCGTGATCATTTACATTGCTTTCTTTCATGAAGGCCACCCTCATGTACCTTCCCTAACCCACAAACCTGTTAACATTGTCTTAAGGTGAAATGGCTGTAAAATCAGTATTTAACTAATAAATTTATCTGTACTCCTCTTCCCTTTCTCCCGCAAATGTCTTTCCTGGGAAGTTCTCTGCTGCCCTTTGAAGGCTGTCCTGGGCCACAGAGGCCCCTTCGTCAATCTGCTCACAGAAAATCATTTTCTCCATTTTTGGCAGTGGGCCAGGCCTTCCTCTGTAAGTGTCGGTGGCTGGCGAGAGGAAACTCATCCCGGCCCTGCCTCTGAGGCTCTGGTTTCCGAAAAGAGGGCTGGATCACCCATTAAATAAAGTTCCTGGGGGCCATTTCTAAAACTCTCAGGGACAGGAGACAAAGCTTAGGGGCAGTGATCTCTCCAGATCTCTCCAGCCCGCCTGAGTTAAGATGTGCACTGGAGGGTCCCCCTGGGGTGCTCTTCTGTCTTCTCCTTTATGGTTTAATTCAAACAAGCCCCTGGAGGGGCTGGTCAGGCTCCACACCAGTGGGAGAGGACAGGAACTTCCCTACCCACTTGTCTTTACATTCTTAGGCTATAGAATTGCTTAGTTGCATTGTCTTAAAAGTGGGGTGAGGGCTAGAGGCAACAATGGCCCTAAGGCCACCCTCTGACTTTGGAAAGGGACAAATAAGGAAATCCACTCCTTCTCAGAACTGTTTATGGTGGCTTCCTGCCACTTCCAATCAGCCCCTGTCAAACCCAGTGGGCAACTGGTGGCCCTTGACTTTTTGACAGTACCCCTCTTATTTTTGAGTCAGAAAGAAAAAACTAACATAGAAGAACCATGCTTCTATGTCAAGTCAGGAAAGCTTTTAAGTTTGCCAGGGAATAGCCAGCCCTATTCAATCTAGCGATCGTCCAGAAGGATAACTAGCCACTAGGAGTAACACAGAGCTTCAAAACCAAAAATAAAACCTACCAGGATTTATGTTGGCCGTGGGAAGCACGTGTTTTCTGATGCTAAAGTCCTTGTGGAAAACATTTGCTCACTTCCCTTTAGGAATGGCTTCCAGGACAAAATTACATACGATACCAGAAGACCTTATATAGTCATGCATCCCTTGTGCTTCAGCCCAGGTGGTATAATCCGGCTGGCGTCAGCCTCTGCGCTCACCAGACTTGGTTGCTTTCCCAGATTAAATGTATCCTCAGAGGAGGTCGATTTTGATATTCTAAAGGATGAAGTTCCCAGAGGGTTGGGAAGTGGTTGGCTGGGGGAAGGCTGTGGGGGGCGGTGAGGGCTCGCAACCCTGGCATCATTAGAATAAATGACTGTCCTACTATGACGAGTGAAGCAGCCAGGGACATGTGTCCAGGTTGAGAAATCCTTCACCTTCCCTTACAGTCTCTTGCTGTGACAGAACATTTGGAAGCACAGCAAGAGGTGCTTCCTCTTGGAAGGCCAAATTATTTTAACAGTTGGACAGTGTTACTCCTTAATATTTGACTTTTGAATGCCAACAGGGGGTGAGTAGTAGCAGATTTAGCTGTGATCAGGATTGACTTGTATTGACAGCAGTGAGAATTAAGTTTATGTTGACTGAACATTCACGAAATGGAGCTAGGCGGGGGTTATTTCGATGACCCAACCCCCACCCCCAGTCTCCAGAACTTGACATACTGACTAGGATACTGAGAACATGAGAAACAGCCATTTGGAAGCTGCTTTTGGAGTGGAGGTGGTTGGATTTGGGTTTTTCAATCATTCTCGGATATTAGACTTTTCAGATAGCAACCTTGCCCTGCTTGAAGCTAGAACACAAAAATGCCATCATCCCATGACCCCTTAAGGACCAGACTTAAAGCTTCAAGGTTTAGCCTGGGCGGTAGAACCTCCAGGTCTCTCTATCCCTGGGGTCTTGCTTCTCTTTCGAACCCACGGCCTTCTGAGAGTGCTGCTGTTCTATACCACTCTGGCCCTACTGCAACTTTGATCTCAGCTCCAGTAGCTGCAAAAAAGACTGACTGTTCAATAACAAGGAGAACTAAGTAATCCAAGTGAAGAGGACATTAAAACAGACCTATTTTTTGCAAAATCCAGTTTCCTTTGGGTTTGTGCATTGCTAGCTCAGTCTTCTGGCTGAAGCCTGGGACTCTGTGAGTTTAGTTTTATATGGAGATGGCCACACAGCTATGCTCTGGGTTCAGAAGAACAGATGAATCAGAAAAAGCCTGCAAGTGCTCTTGCACCCAGGCTGTGGGGACCGTGCTTCACCTGAGAAATAAACAGGAAACGTATGATATGACCTCCTCCCTGGAACTGTGTTTATTATTATAGTAGACTCTCATAATGATTGTTGTCACTTGAAAATGGATTTGCTTAAACAAAATGAATTGCAATTAGAGATACAAGAAATTTAGATTTATCATTCCCCCTCATTAGAGTCACACTGAATTAGGTCTTGCATCTTGAACCTGGGACCAGCAGCTCTGAATTCATGGGTTGGAAGAAAGTGGTTCATGTTTCACTGGGTCTTACACACTCTTTTTGGTAAAAATGAAACCCTAGGGCCCCATGATTTGAAAATGCTCCTCCTGGAGACTCCAGATTGATGTCCCCCAAAAGGAAAACAGTACCTTTATTGTGACCCAAGTAATGAAGTTCAGAAATATTTCAGAAGCTATACATCCAAATGAGCATTGCCTCAAAATAGCCACCTAGGAAACAACACGTTCCACTATTGCGGTCATCGCAAAGACAGGAGGGCCCCCTGTAGACCCTCTCCAGAACCACCTCACAGCCGCCTAAGAGAACCGGGTTGGTTGGTTGTTTCTTAGACACATTTAATTTGGGACCCCAAACAGAATTATATCACGTGCCCAATTTTTGTCACCAGTCTTAATTCTAAATGCCCCTTCAAAGTATATAAATGTGCCAAAGTATAGAAATAGATCTTAGTGAAGATCTATTGAAGAATGATCTCTAGTCTCTGAAAGCTAATCCCAGAGAAGGAAGCAGAAGCGATAGAAAACACTTGCTGGTCTTCTGACTGCCACGCTGAAGAGGAGAGCATGTTGTGCTTTAGTTCTCGTGTTTTCTTAAATCCATCCAGCGCTCTTGGTGTCTTCCCTCACTATCCAGCTGTGTTGAGGTGTGAGAGGGACTGCAGGTTATGGGACTGGAACACACTTCCAGAGCTTCCAGAGGGATCGTGTGTACAGAATGCTTGGAGTAGGTCATTTCTACAATTTTGGGCCGTGGTTATTTTTTTAACTTTTGGGGTCACAGACCTCTAAAAACAGAACAAAAGTTGTGCCCACTTTTCCAGAAAGGTTCACATAGCCTGAGATCTTGCACACCACCATTGGAACTCTGGAAAGTTCTCCATGCGCCCTGGGATTAAGAACTCCTACTCAGCTTCTGGTTTAGCGCTGCAAAGCTGTGTTGGCCTGACTAACGAGGTCAGCTCTGCCTACAGTGTCCTGGTGTTTAATGGGAAAAAGGAGACTCAGAGTAGATCTTCCTGTTTAGCTGGGAAGTCAATCAACCAAAGTCCCAGGACAGCTGTCAAGACCCCTAGAGCTGTTCTGGGCCCTGGGGGTCGGGGGAGCGGGCGGGTTCTGCAACCTAAAATCTAGCTGTTTATACAGAGAGAGGGCTGAGGAATTCCTGGTGGCCCCTTCTTTACAGGAATCTAAGGCTTTGGGGAAGGTAGTCTTGCTAAGGTTTACAGTAACTGGTCTGGGAGAGTCGAATGGAAAGGAAGGAAAACAAAACCACCCCCACTAGGAAAAAGGATGCCTGGATTGGGTGCTTGACACGTTTACAGATCATGAGGGGTCCCAGAGATTATCTAGTCCAAATCCTCCTGTTCCCTCCTCCTCGAGAGAACTTGCCCAAGGCCACAGAGAGGCGTGAGGAAGAGCTGCGCTTAACTGAGCATCTACCCTCACTAGGGAGGCTCTGAGATTGGAATCAAGGTACTGTCCTTGCAGTTAACACACTCACCACGTGGGGGCGCCCGCGTCTGCCTGCTCTCCCTTGTGTCCTTCAGACTCTAACCAGCCACATTTTTAAGCTGAGATCAGTCCAGAAATTTTGCTAACAACATACTTACTACTTATTGAGCACTACTTCATATCAACACTGCTAGTAGCTTTATATATGCACATAAAACATGTATCACTATCACGTTTTGCACACGAAGAAGATACTAGCCCACAGCTCTTAAGTCACCTGCTCAAGGTCACAGAACTAGTTTGTGCAGAATCAGGCTTCAAGCCACGTTTATTTGACTCCAGAATTGGGGCCTTTACACCACACCCTTACCTTCCCTAAAGAGTGGACACCTCAAAGCTGGAAACCTCGCACAGCCTGGGTCTAGGTCCTACTCGAAGACAAAGTCAACATCTTTCTAGAAGTTGGGAGGATCTTTGGTTCCAAATTCTCCAATTCCCCCAATTAAGGCACAGTGAAAAAAAGACCTAGAACCACTGGGGAATGGCGCTTACTGTCCACAGTCATGTGCCTGTAAGAGGGCCAACTGGGATCCAACCAGGAGCCTCGCTCTCAGCCCTTGGTGCTCCCCAGGTGCCTCTGGAGACATTTGAACTCTTCTTAATGTGGTTCAGAATCCCCAACTCTTTCATTGGCAATTTGATTCCTCACCGGATTCTACTACTTTTCTCCTTCACTTCCTTTCTTGATGTCTTGGAGGTAGCTGTATTTTAACTGATTTTCACGTGCATTATAACTTTAACCCTGTTGGAGAAATCAGGGGCACTAAAGGAGAGGAACTGGCTCCATGGCCCTTTGACAGCAGGCCGCTGACCTCCACAGCCCTGAGGCCCAGGCTCCCATGGGTTGGGGACTGTCCCAAATCCAGGAGGCAAATAATAATGATAACAACTCTGTTCACTCTGCCCAACGAGTGGCGGGATTTGGACCCATGTAGTCCGAGGCAGAAAGAGCATTCTAAAGTGCTGTTCCAATTACTCTCCTAGGAGTTTGCCCTTTTCCAGGCAGATTTCCCTGCCTTATTGTCCCAAAATGATAACATACATTCGCACCGCACTTTACAGTTTATGAATTTTTTGCATCTAATACTCTCACTTAATCGTTCATTTAAAGAATATTTATTGAGTACCTACCAACTGCCAAGTACTGTGCCCTAAGTCCTGCTCCAAGTGAGGTCCCTGGGCCAGCAGGGGCAGCAGCAGCAGCAGCAGCAGCACCTGGCAGCTTGTTAGAAAGGGAAAATCGTGGGCCTTGCAACAAACCTGAGTCAAAGTCTGCATTTAAACAAGATTCCCAGCTAGCTCACATGCACATTAAAGTTTGAGAAGCCCTGCTTTCTAATGTTTCCATAAAAACACCATGAAATAGATATTCCACTTTAACGCATGTATAGATTGAGATACTGTGACTTGTCTTCCCACAATCATGAAGGAATCTATGTTAGGAGCTTAGAAGAGTGTCTTGCTCATAATATGTGCTCAACAAACAACATGTACTATTATAAATGACATAGTCAAGCTGTGAACCATTGCTTTTCTCAACTCTATAGCCCTTTGGCCTCAGCAGAGGCCTCGTAGGCACCATTCCAAGAGGTGAGGCAGGGCTCGTGGCTCTGGCTTCCTTCCCAGCTCAGAGACTACAAAATGGGGAATTAGGGGCTCCAGAAGCTACTGTTGGGGTGTGCCTGATCCTACAGTAGGGACCATCCTGGGGTGGGGATGTTGGTCTCCAGAAGAGGCGAGAGAGAGAGAGAGAGAGAGAGAGAGAGAGAGAGAGAGAGAGAGAGAAAACGCGGAAGGCTCTAAGGGGATCTTCCCAGCCTTCCTCTCCTCACTTCCTGCCCAAGCCCCTTCAGTGGAAGCCTCGCTGTACTGCTCCCTCTCAATCAGCAGCACACCACCTAAGGAGGGACTGCGCCCCTGTTCCTGTGCTGGCCAAGCGCTCCCCAGGCCCTCTCAGCCCCCCGGACAGTGGTGCCTGCTTTCCTGTGCAGGCTCCCCATCCTCTTTGGAGAGCTAACAACGCTGGAACATATTTATTTTTAAATAGTCTACTGTTTGATCTTTTTATTCTTTAAAACACAAATTTAACCTTTAAGGAAAAATTTGTTTATGGTAAAAATTCAAATAATAATATTCAAGTTATATAAAGATCCCACCCTTTAAAAGTTTCATGAGAATTTCTTGACGATCTGTCATCTTTTCACAATGACCTCACTAGGCTTGGATGCTGAGCAAATTCAACTTAGAGGCTTGCCTTTGCCAAAGCTCTCCTGTTAAGATAATCAATTTTTCTGTCTTCGTTAGACAGTAAACGTTCCCAAAGCAGTTCACGTTTTCACCGTCCACTCAATCTCAGTCTCCGACTGCCCTCCTCCCACGCCACCCTTCATCCCCATTTTGGTCGCGGTGGGGCCTCCCAGGACTCACAGCGTAGGAGACCCACACCGTCCCCACGAAAAGCGGGCCCCACCCCGCGCCTCGCCGGCTCGGAGTCCTGCGCCCACCCACTGATGACAAAGCTCCGCCCACCCCAAGGAGGGCGAGCCCCGCCTTCTGCGCACACCCCGGGAGCGGAGGCCCGGTCTACAGCATCCCCCGCAAACACTGTCACGTGCACACACAGGAGTGGGTACCCTCACGCTACACACCTTTTATCCCAGCTCCCCGATCCGAGAAGAGCGTTCCGCGCCTAGCCCGGGGGCAGGTCCCCGCGCAGACGCCAGACGCCTCCACAGACGCCCGACGCCCAGTCCTCCTAGCTCCGGAGGCGGCGAGAGGGCCTCGCCTCGGGGCTGCGGGTGAGTGCAGCCGGCCGCCCCTCCGGAAGGTCCGCGCGGGCGGGGAGAGGACGGCGTGGCTCCCTCCCCGGAGGTGCGCAGAGTGCCCTGCCCCCATCTTAACGCAGAGCTACGCTTTACCACCGCCTGCGCTTGTTGTTGTCACCTTGTTGCAGGCGGGAAAACTCAATTACCGAAAATTTTAGAGGCGACCTTTATAGAACCTGCACCCCCTAGATGGCTTTTCTTTTCTTTTCTTTTTTTTTTTTTTTTTTTTTTTTTGCGAGGTTGGGGAAGCGGGGGGATGCTTACCACTATGTCTCCGTGTGTTTTCTCCTGGGAGGCTCCACCTCCCATCCCACCCCCACCTTCACCCTGAGATTCTAATCTTTTAAGTTTATGGTAGAGACAGTTTGTTGTTCAGTCTTCCATCTCCGTAAATATACCTAAAAGAAACATGCCCTGTGTCTAGATACTTTAAGGATTAGGTGGATTTCAGAGGGAGGCTTTTCCCGAAGCTTCCTCTTTGGAGAGGACCTGGGCATTGAGGTTAAAGTCGGCTGCTGGTGTCCTTGCAGCCCAGCAGTTTTGTCTATATAGACTATTTAGTTTAGTGTCTTGAAAGTCCGACTAGGGGAATTTTACTATATGTTAGTGACTCTAAAACACTCAATTTAAAATACACATTATTGAATGTGCTGCTTTTTAAACTGTGAGCGTGGATTGTAAGAGACATCTCCATTTCAGAGATTTAAAAATTATTTTTGAATTGCGACATACAATAGCTAACACCGTGCCAGGTACGTACTTAGTTCCTTGGGTTTTCACCAGTACCAATAGAGATTTGTGCAGATAAGGAAACAGGTAGTTAAGTTGTTAGTGTGCCCTGGGCCAGGGTATGCGGACTTCCTGTGTCTGAGAAGTTGGGAGGCAGACCACTCAGACTCAAACACCTGAATGCCTCACAGACTCTCGGTGAACTTGGGTGATTTGGAGCAGGGAGAGATGGAGAGGTAACCCTACATCAGGGTTAAAATGGAACTCCTGCTGTTTCTCAGTTACCAGGGTTAAAGATTTGTAGTTAAGCTGGATGTGACGGCTTCTGGCTCTGAACCAACATGGCCCTGTGTCTGCACTTGTGATTCTGAGCTCTGTGCTGCTGTTGTCACGTGCAGTGTCCTTACTAGTGAGGAGATCCTGGGAGGGCTGGACCTACATATGTGTCTGTGTCCCTTACAGCCTTCTCTACCCAGACCATCTCTTTCCTAAAAAGTGGGGGGGGGGGGGGCGACGGTGGCGGGGGAGATAGCAGCAGCAGTAGGTGGGATTGCTTTTGAGGGTCAGGGGCCAGAGAAAGTGTGGAGATGAGTTAGGGGTTACAGTCCAGACAAGAAGTTCAAGGGTCCGCTCCTGTGCAAAGCTGCCACGGGCTCCTAGTAGAGGGTGTCCTGCGATGATGGGTAGCACACTGCAGGTGCTTAATAATTGTTTGCTACATGAAGAAAGGTGAGAGGAGCTGGAAAGGGGACCAATTCCTGGGAAGCTGGCTCAGCTGGTCGGTCTCTTGGATCTGACCCTCCTCCCAAACCACCCTCCCTTTTCAGCTGTGTATACTGTTAAAGTTGGTGGCAAAAAATAGCCGCTTGAAAGCTTGGAGCTTGACACCTATCAGAGATGCTGAGAGAGAAACTAGCTAGTCTTTTCTGCCAGCAGGGATGCCAGAAGGGCCATCCGTGAGGAAGTTTCACCATTTGGTGTGCCCGTTTGTGGGGCAGCAGGTGGTCAAGACGGGGGGCAGCAGTAAGAAGCTAAACCCTGCCAGTTTCCAGTCCCTGTGGCTCCAGGACACCCAGGTGAGTTCATCATCTTCTGGTGGGCTTGTTCATACCTCACACAGGTGGGCCAGCGCCATCAGCACGCCCTGGGCCCGCCCTGGCATTTACCTCAGCACTTTCCATGCCATCTCTTCCGTGAGCCCAAGACAACGAGGCTAAGACTCCGTGCGGCTCCTCCTCTCTCAGTCTGGTGTTTCTCAGCCGGAAGTGGGCCTCACAGTGGCCTGTGGGATTACGAAAAACAAACCGGCATACAAACGCTGGGGATTCTAATCTGGGGGTCTGGCCTGATTATCATCACCCCAGTCAACTCCGATGTGCACCTTTGGTTAGGAACCATGTTTAATCCCATGGGTCCGGCAAGGACGCAAGGAAGGAGCATAGCCTTCTGAGAGTTTCTGGCTCACCTTTGCTCTGAGCGTAAGCCAGAATCCCTCAGAGGCTCCTGTGTTTTGACTTGGGCTTCCCATTCTTACAACACTTCTTGTCCTGCTCCAAATCTCTTGCCCAGCTTTGACAGTAAATGTTCTGGCGCTCCTCCAGCAAGTCCTGTTTGCTCATGGCTTTGACTTGCCGGTCCCCTGCTTGTACAAATCTTCCTTTGTTTTGCAGCTCTGCCCCTAGTCCCATCTCCTCATGTTACCTTGGTAATTCTAGTCTTCCGGATTTACCTGTGCCCTCACACCTCCTGAGAGGCCTGCCTCGCCTGCTCTGTGCTGGGGCGACCCTTCTCCTCTGTGCTTCCATGGCACCTTCTGCTTCCTCCTCTTGGACCCTCAGAGCTGAATTTTCCTGCCTGCTTAGTGGAGGAGACAGATAACTAGGGCAGGGGTATGTCCTCATCAATATTGTGTCCCTGGCACTTAGCTCAGTGCCTGGCACTTAGGAGGCCTGTTGTAATTGGCTGTAGAAAAAAAGTAGATGAACTCTGTTGCTCCTAAGAAGATTACTTAATCTTAGCTCTGGTTTCCGCAGCTGTAAATGGGGATAAACTACTGAATCACAGTAAAAATGGTTGAATGAAACAGGCTTTATGCTTGGCACACAATAGGAGCTCAGTGAATCCTAGTTTGCTTTATTGAGATATAATTCACATAGCATGTAGTTCACCCACTTAAAGTGTGCAGTTCAGTGGCTTTTAGTGTCCTCACACAGTGTTGTGCGACCATCACCGCAGTCAATTTTAGAACATTTTCATTGCCCCAAAAAGAAACTTGGTGTCCATTAGCAGTCTCTCTGCCTTTCAGCCTAACCCTAAGCAACCACTAATCTCTTTTCTGTCTTTATAGATTTGCCTTTGTTGGACATTTTACATACGTGGAATCAAGCACATTGTATATGTGTCTTTCTGTGACTGGCTTCTTTCACTGAGCATAATGCTTTCAGTGTTTATCCGTGTTGTAGCACGTGTCAGAATTTTCTCCCTTTTAAATACTGAATTCCTAAAGCAAAGGAGCAGAGATTGACCCATCAGAGTGCTCCTCAGAGCCTGCCACACTGTTTGGGACATTGTATAAACTCAACTAAGGATCGGTTATTTGAAGTACTCTAGTGTCACAGGAATTTAAAAGAGGGACAGTAGAAATTGCCATTGTTGGAAAGGGTGCAAGAATATCCTGACAGGAGCTTTTTTGACCTAGTAAATGTTTTGACCCTGAGGGGCATATGACAAATATTTCAACAGCGTTATACCAACATCGGTGGATTTGTATTGAGGAAGCATTTTCTGGAGCATATTCTGTTACACCCACTTAATTCCTTGCTCTGCTTTTTTTATGTTTTAAGATTTTATTTATTTTTAGAGACGGGGAGGGAAGGCGGAAAAGGGAGAGAAACATGGATGCGCGAGAGAAACATCGATCGGCTGCAGGACCCAACCAAAACCCCTTTGCTTTGCTGGACAATGGCCAGTCCACTGAGCCAAGCTGGTCAGGGCATCTTGCTGTCTTTCCTAGATAGCTCAGTTGAACCATTCCTCATACGTGGAAATGAATAGCTGCGCTCAGATTTGCAGACAGTGCCCTCTTTTAGGCACTGCAAAAGACTGCTGCAGTTGGAATCTTTATACTCACTGGTAAAGTTGGAGATCATATCAGAACCGTGATCTTCAAGTACGTGCCTTCGCTGGTGCCTAATTTTACAATGTGTCGGCTTTAGCCGCTGTCAGTATTTATGTAGAGCATGTGTGTGCTGATATTTTCTTAAAAAAAAAAAAAAAAAAACCCTGAATACAGGGATGACAGTTTCTATTCATTTCTTAACTAATCCATGAAAAAATTGGGAGCATTTCCGCTCAGGTGTTCGAGGGTGGCCTTGCTGTCTAGAATGGATCCATTTCACTGCTCATCCAATTCCCACTCGATTCTAATCACTTTGAAAAAGTGCTAGCTGCCCACACCTCTGGAGCAAAGAGCGAAAGTCAGGTTCAAAATACTCAACTAGGGAAAGCTTCATGGAAAAGGCAAGAATGGAGAAACTTGTGTTAGGATAGTTGTCTCATACACGTGTTCTAGTCTTCCCCTTTCTGGGCCTGTGTAAGGCTCCCTGAGTCCGTTTGTGCTGCTGTCATAGAATACCACAGACTGAGTGGCTTATAAATACAGAAGTTTATTTCTCAGTTCTGGCGGCTAGAAGTTCAAAATCAAGGTGCTGGCAGATTCTCCTTGCAGGGTCATAGACGGCCATCTTCTCCCTGTTCTCACGTGGTGGAAGGGACCAGGGAGCTCTCAGGGTCTCCTTTATGAGGGCACTGATCTCTCTCCTGAGGCCCCCACTCTCATGACCTCATCACCTTCCAGAGGCGCACGTCCAGATACCATTCCATGGTGGGTTATGTTTTCAACATACGAATTTGAGGGGCGGACACAAACACATCTGTAAGAAAGGCTTAGATTATGTTCCTTTTTTTTCTAGGTCCATGGAAAGAAATTATTCCTTAGATTTGATCCAGATGAAGAAACTAGGTCTCCTGGCAACAACCCACTGCCAAAACCTCTACAAAAAGGAGAGAGGAAGGAAGGGGCTGGGGACCAAAAGCAGACCTTGGGTCCCGACATCCAGAAAGTCTCAGACCAGTCCTCCCAGTCTCCAGAGCTTGTCTACAGTGGAGACAATGGTTCGGAGTGTTTGGGAGGAGGCAGCCCTGCAGGGGTTGCTGAGAGGTGGCTGCAGATCCGCTTTGGTTTGTTTGGCAGCATTTGGGTGAACGAATTCTCCAGAGCAAAGAAAGCAAACAAGAGGGGTGACTGGAGGGACCCCATTCCAAGGTAATGGCATGATGGATTGGCCGTGGGCGGTGTCTGTCTGTATCCCTACGGGGTCTGCAGTGCTCAGCAGGGCTCCCATGGCATGGGTCCCTCTGGACGCACGCAGGTGGCTGTCCAACCTGTTCTCCAGCAGTCTGCTTCCTAGGAGAGAGAAGACACTTCTCTGTCTACCTGTCATATGAAGTCGACTGGTTTGTGTCCAGAGAGGAATGGGTCAGCTTAGTGAAGAGGGGACAACTTTCCCAACAAACACGGCCCCGGAGGGTGGAGGTCTCTGAAGAATGTTGGATGGCTTAATGAGTGCGCTCTGAATTTAGGGACAGAATTGTCTCAAGTTTTTAATCTATTAATGTTGAGGCTGTCTCAGTGCATAAAACTCTATCCATGTTCAGGGTTGTTTCCTTAGTGTACATAGCCAGAGGAATCATAGCTGGTCAAAGAGAGTGAGCATTCTTATGGCCTTGCAGAAGTGCTCGCTCAGCTGAATTCTCACTACCATTGGATTGGTTGTGTGTGTGTGTTTTTTTTTATCACTGTGTAAGAGCTTTTAGATATTGTGCGTTAGCTTCTGTGATATGTGGTACCACTATCGTTTCCTCTCTGTGTCCTTTGACAGTGTTTGTGCACTTTGGCATTCAGGAGTTTTAATTGTTACATAGTCAATGGTCAGTAATTTTTGAAAAAATAATTCTTATTTTTCAGTTACAGTTGATGTAGAATACTATACTAGTTTCTGCTGTACAACATAGTGATTAGACATTTATGTAACTTATAAAGTTATGTAAGTCCAGAGCCATACAGGGTCAGTATTTTTCTTAATAGCTCCTAAGTTATCCCCTTTTGCTAAAGAAGGCTCCTTCAACTCAAAAGTCACACTGCTTTTCTATTTTCTAAAGTCTCATATTATATTTTTATGCTCAGAGCTGTCTTTATTTAGGGTATGGTTATTATGGTGTGATTATGGTATGATCCAATAGGATGCTTTGGACTGTAAAAGTAACTTATGCTGGTTTAAATTGGGAGGGGTTTTTTATTTTGTTTTTTTTGTTCACATAATTGGAAGTTCAGAGGGAGGGTGGTATTTGGCACTGACTCAGTTCCCAGTCTCTGGCTTCAGGTTCTTGTGATTCTCCTGTCTTTGCACTTTTCCATGTGTTGGTTTTGTCTTTAGACGAGCAGCACAAGGCTCTGCAGTTCCAGGCCTTATGTCCTCGCAAAGAAAGAGGAAAGAGGAAGAGGGAGGGTCATTTTGAAATACCCAGTCGAGCAAGGAGAGCTTTCTCAGAAACCCGCAGCAAACCTCTCGTTGCTGACGCTGGCTCCTGGGCTGATTCTTGAAATAGTCTCTGGCTTGGGGAATTTAAATCCTCCTCCATGGACAAGGCTCCCCCCCGAGGTTTTCAGTTTTGTCACAGAGTTAACACATAATCATTCTCTTACTTTTAAAATCTTGTCAAGTTCTATCTCCCTTCTCACTTTTCATGTGTTACATATTACTTTGTCTCCCCACCCCTTTTTTCTTAATTAAGCTTGCCAGAGTTTGATCTGCATTGTAGGTCTTTAAAATAAATAATATCAGTTGTATATACTCTATATCTAAGAGTATTTCCTAATTGTCCAAATGGTTGAGTGTTTGGGTGATCGTTTCGTTTTGTTGTCATTTTATTTTGGACTGTGATCAGTATTATGATCAAAGCCCGTACATTTTCTACTTTGGGCAGTAAGATTTGCAGCTGAACACATAATTGATCTTTGCTTATACTTTATGTGCATAAATGGGTAGTATGTTTGTTCAAAGTAAAACAGTCTGTAAATGTTAAGAACAGGTTATGGCTTTGATAACTCAAATTCTCTCTGTCCTTGCTTATTTTTTGTTTACTTAACATGCCAAACTTGGGAAGAGGCGTGCCAAAGTCCCCCCGAATAGTTGTACTTTTGTAAAGTTTCTCCGTGTCTTGCCGAGCACATTTGTTTCTGTGTGTCTCAGCCCTGTGGTCCCAGGCATCAGGGGTTCTGACTCTCATTGGCTCTTTACAGCTTCATTGTTAAACAACATGCTCTCTCTTTGCCTTTGGTCCTGAATTACTCTTCTTGATGCTAATAGTGGCACTCAGTTCCCTCGGCCCACCCCTTGCTCTTTTCTTACTTGGTTTTAGGTATGGTTTTTTTTTAAACACTTATTTTAGGTATGTTTTGTATAAACTATGAACCAGACTTTTGTATCTCTTTAAACTCAAACTGAAACTCTATTTTGAAATGGGGGTTACTGAGGTATTTGGATTTTCTTTCATTCGCCATTTTATCGTACTTTGTTTTCTTTTGTTGGATTTATCATTTCTTTTCAGCTCCCACCTGCCCCCCATTAATTTGGAAGTATTGCTATTTATCTTCATTCTGTTGGTATAATTTTATCTTAAATTATACTTATTGTTTTCTGAGTTAACAACCATCAAGTTAAAACATTTTTTAAATTATTTTTCAGCCCTGGCTGGCGTGGTGGCTCAGTGGATTGAGCACTGGCCTGAGAACAGAAGCGTTGTTGATTGGATTCCCAGTCCGGGCACGTGCCAGGATTGTGGGCCAAGTCCCTGGTTGGGTGTGTACAAGAGGTAACCGGTAGATGTATCTCTCACATCGATGTTTCTCTTGCTCTCTTTCTCCCTTCCTTCCCCTCTCTCTAAAAAATAAATATATAAAAATTTTTTAAAATTATTTTTCAATTACATTTGACATCAATTTTTTAATAACATTAATAACTTTTCCCCCTTATTATTGAAACTGTTTTTTTGGTCACATTTCTTCACTCTGTTGAGATGACTCTTTCTATTTCACTTCTTCTTTTCTGTCACATCCACGCCATCTCCTGCGTTTGCCGAGGTAGTTTAGAATTTTAGTCCCCGATTGCTAATTATATTACGTGGTTAATTAATGTATAACCAAACTACTTAAGAACCTTGTTCACCCATAGGCCTAGGCGCAGCATGTGGGGCAGCAGCTGGCTCCCCTTCCTGCCGCAGCTCCTTCCCCTCCCCCACCTCCCTGCAAGATTCCCGGGTTCTCCTGCCATGGCTTTCATTGGAGCCAAGAATGCATCCTGTCTTATTCTTGCATGCTAGTGCTCCTCCACGAATTTGAAAGACACATTGGCTGACCTGATACCTAAGGAGCAGGACAGAGTTAAGACCTTCAGGCAGGAACATGGCAAGACAATGGTGGGCTAAATCACTGTGGACATGATGTATGGTGGTATAAGAGGCACAAGGGATGGTATACAAAACATTGGTTCTTGATCCTGATGAGAGCATCTGTTTCCAAAGCTACAGTATCCCTGAATGCCAGAAACTGCTGCCTGAGGCTAAGGTTGAGATAGAGCCCCTATTGGAGGGCTTATTTTGGCTGCGGGTAACTGGCAAATCTCAACAGAGGAACAGGTATCTTGGCTCTCAAAAGAGTGGGCGAAGAGGGCAGCCCTGCCAGTCATGTGCTCACCATGCTGGACAGCTTTCCCAGCATCTGTACCACATGTGCAGCCATTACAGCCCTCAGCAGTGAAAGAAACTTTGCCGGAGTAAAATGCATCAGCAGACCCAACTGCTGGGAGTTGATTTATGAAGACTGTGTGGATCTGATCGCAAAGCTGTCTTGTGCTGCTGCAAAGATCTACCAGAATCTGTACTGGGAGAACAGCAGTATTGGGGCCACTGACTCTAAGCTGAACTTGTCCCACAGTCAACACGTTAGGCTATATCGATGCTCAGTGTACTGAGCTCATGTGCTCGCACCTCACTCTCTGCAGTGAACATGAAGGCGGCAATGAAGTGCCCGTACTACCCACTTGGTGGGCGGTGCCCTTTCAGACCCCTGCGGTCCCTTCCCGCAGCCGCGATTGGGCCGGCAGAGCCCCTGCATGGGCTGGAGGGTCAGGAAGTGCTTGTTTGGCTGATGCAGCTGCAGAAGGAAGCTGACAAAGATGTGTCAGATGAGTAGCTATGAGACTGTATCTGGAAATACTCAGAATGGGTTGTCGCAGGCTCTGTCCCATGCAGGACCGAGGAAGACGGATCGGCGACGTGCATGTCAGTGAGAGTTCGCTCCGAAACACCTGCCTCGTGACCCTGTGTTTAAGACAGTTGCTCAGCTGTACTGGATTGTGCCCAGTGTTCCCTAAGAGCAGGGCCAGGCCACGAACCCTTGGCCCGATGCGGGTGCTCGCTGTGGGACGCTGCGCCAGTGCTGTGGCGTGCCGGCGGTGAAGGACCGCACAGCCCTGCGTGGGGTGGCACGCGTGTGGGGTGTGCCGGCACAGCTCATCTGGGGCTGAGCCCTGGGCTTCCCTCTGAAGAGGCCCAAGTCCGCGGGCACAGAGGGTCTGATGAAGTTTGTGGACCCTAAGGCAAGGTAAACCTGGAGACTGGGCGAAAACTAACAACCAGAAGTGAGGGAGCTTAAAAAAAGTATACTTTTGTTTCAGGGGGCTTTTAAAGACTTAAGATGAAACTGATAATAAGTTCGAGGTTAAAATATAAATTACTAAGACTTTAAAAGAAAACGAGTGACCCCTTTCCCCTGACCGGCTCCTTTCCCCTGCCTGGTGTGAGTTGCCCGTCAGCTGTAGGATGACCAGGGCTAGCGCATGTGGTGCGGGTCAGATCTGGCCCCCCGCCCTCTCGAGAGTGAGACTCTGACTCTTTCTCTGGGGCAAAGCTGATTTCTGAGAATCCGCAGTCGCTTCAGAGTTTTTGGTGCTGCTCTGCCCACCCCTGGTCAGGCCAGCAAACCTGGACTCTGCTCCTTCTGTTCCCATAGTAACCATGTTGGATTGTCAGTGGCACCAAGCCCAACTGCTCACTCTCCTGTGCAGACACTTCATAGCAAGGCCTATTGGTTAGCTGGACATGCTTTGAGCATTTTTTTAATGCTACCAGGTGACCATAAAGGCCATGGCATTTGTTGTTGCTGGTACCCAGTGTTCGATTTTTATTTGTTTTTAAAATTATCCCATAAAAATTGAGATCTGGGAATGTTCTATTCCCCACTACTTTAATACCTATTTGAGATTTTCTTTATGTGCTGAGCTTCAAGCCGAGGATGCTCTGGACCTTCCCACCTTGGTCTTTGCTGGAAACCTCTTTCAGCAGGTTGTGTAAACCATTGTCTGATGTATGGTCTTTCCCAATCATTTGACTTTAGGAGTGCTTAACACGAACTCAGATTTTTAGCCATTACCCTCGACTTTTGTCCCATGGCATCGGGACTTGGGGATGACCAGCACGGGGTCCTCATGGTCCGGTCCCAGGAGTACTGTCACCTTTTTCTGAGCAGGGAAATGATTTAAGTTTGGACATAATCTCTTTTGAATATCAGGTTCTAGGTCTGAGCTCATTAAAATAGTAAGCCTCCCTCCTCATCTGCTGCCACAGGAAGAAATCCCTGTACTTATCAAGGTCCCTGTCCTGCCTGCCCCACCCCTGAGAGCTCACAGCACAGTGCTTGCTCGAAGTCCCGTCTGCACAGGTTTTCGGTGACGCAGAATGCTCTACTGCCTTTTCTTTAAGGGACTGAAATACACTCCTGCCGTGCCCCTTCCTCCCTCACAGCTCCTGCCTGGGGGAGTGTGGCTCCCCAATCCCCAGGGCCAGCTGCTGGGATGGACACACTGCCTGCAGTCCCCTGGGGAACGTGGCAAGTCATGATGCAGACTTCAGGGGGTTCTCTATGAAATGCAAAATAAATGACTTTTATCAACAAAAGACACTCCCCAAAACTGATACTAAAAAATTAAAATACATGTCTTTGGTTTCAGAAATTCTTCTCTAACACTTGTGTTGTAGTTCTCAGTTGCACTATCATAGTCCATTGTAGATTTCACGGTAAACATTACGACTCTAATGCTGCTCATTTTGTCCCATCCTGTTCATTTCCCCCCATCACGAGATTTTCGCTGATTTAATTAACCACATAGATGTTTTTTGAGCTCCTGTTCTTTTAAAATCACCTTTTACTTTCACATAAGAATATCATCTAGGTCAGATGCATGAATCACACTCTTCTGATGTGGAGTGAGATTCTAATTCCAGCCCCAAAATCTTCCCTGACCGAGTAACCCATTCTTTCTTCCTTCCTTTTAAATTAAGGCTTTATTATTTATTTATTTTCAGAGAGAGGGGAAGGGAGGGAGAAGGAGGGAGAAAAACATCAATAGGTTGCCTCTCGTACACCCCCTGAACCAGGGAACTGGCCTGCAACCCAGGCATGTGCCCTGACCAGGAATCCAACAGACAACCTTTCACTTTGCGGGACAGTGCCCTACCCACTGACTCATGCTGCTCAGGGGTCTGTTATTTCCTTATCAAAGTTTATAAGGTTTCTCCTCTGTCCTTGGGATTCAGGAAGTCCATGGGAGTTTGTTTAGGTGTGTCTTTCTCGGTAAATCTTGCCTTAAGCTGCGAGTGGTGCCTCTTCAGTATCTGTCACCCTTTCTAATAAGCCCTGTTTTTGTGCAGGTAGCTACAGCTCCTGAACTGTAGACTTTTCTGCACACCAAGTTGTCTTCAGTGAACACATATTGTTATGGTCAGAAAAATGAAGTGCTATATGTTTTCTTTTAATTACTTCACTGATGCCTGGCATTTTTATGATTCTGGCAGAGCCCTTCCTTTTCTCGTTTGGGACCTTAGCTTCCCCGAGTTTATCCTGACAGCCGGGTGGGAGCTGTATGGATGTGTGACCTAACAATACTGTGGTCACTCTGGGTGCTAATGATCTTTTCTTTCTTCCCAGGTTGGTCTTGCACTTTGGCGGTGGTGGCTTCCTGGCATTTTATAATTGTCAGCTGTCTTGGAGCTCTTCCCCACTGATCAAACCCACCTCTGACATCTTGTCTGAAAAGTTCCATCGAGGACAAGCCTTGGAAGCACTGGGCCAGGCTCAGCCCGTCTGCTATACACTGTTGGACCAAAGATACTTCTCAGGCGTAGGTATGACTGACGGGAAAGGGATGAGCCCCACAGAATTATTTAGTAGAAAAGTCATTCATCTGGGAAGCACAAAACAGACCCACCCCAGGTGTGAGCACTGCTGGTCTTGAGGTGATCACTTACTCTCTTTATCTTCACTTCCCTCATTTTTAAACAGGCAGTTAGATTAGAGAGTTTCTAACTTCTTTCCTGGCTTCAGAATTCATATCCCAATCCTATTATCACTTGTAGTCTGACAGCCACATTAGCATGTGACCTCCTGAAGGACAGGGACATGTCTCATCTATCCCCGAATCCTCCATGCCCAGCACTGTGCCTGGGACATGGGCGGTTTCAGTGCAGCTTGCTAATGGAGAGCAGTGCATTTGCTCTGCTTGGGTCAGATGGAGCTACCTGGTAGTCAAAGCAGAAAGGCTCAGGTCCACATTAGCATCTTTTAAGATATGAGTAAAGAAGTAGGTTCACGTTCTCTGTTCAGGTTTCCTGAGCAGTGAAACTGTGAGCATTTTGAGGTGGAGAGAAGAGTTGAGCAATTTGAAAAGTGGAATGATTAATTAGCTGGACGATAAGAACACAACTATTCTTATTTTCCACGGTGGGACGACACGTGCACCTCTGGCCACCGAGGCAATAGGGTGAGCTAGTGATGACAGAGTTACCTCCATACCCAGCGCATCATTTTGTCAGCTGCAGGCACTGCTCACCTCATGAGGGGGGACTAGGCCCAGTGGTTCACCAGACAGTGGCCTTGCATTCTTACGTTAGGACCATGGGGGTCCCTGCACCTTGCGGAGCAAAGGGCCTTTAGGGTATATATAGCAAGAGCTGATGCTCTACTGACAAATCATTCTTATGAACAATGGTAATAACAGCCAATATTTTTCAGGTGATTCTAATGTGCCAGGCACATGGTTTCATCCTTACTGCTATTCTGTAGGATAGTTATTTACTAGTTGTCCCTTCATCCCGATGAAGAAATTAAAGCAAAGGACATATTACTAGCAAGCGGTGCAGCTGAGATGGGAATCCAGGGAGTCTGCCGGGGAATTTTAAAGAGAAACGTTGTGTGGAGCCGTAGTGTGATTATGAAGCTCTTGGAAAGGGCAGTCATTTCTTTCATCCATTCACTGCACACATGCTGAGCGCTTGCCTCTTACCAAGCCCCGCCTTCGCCGCCCAAGGAGATTACTGTTTAACGGCCCAGCAAGCGTGGACTCAGGTCACCGTAACCTGAGAAGGACTGCAATAAATGCTCAGTAGAGATTAAAGAAAGTGCATTGTTGGAACATTATGAAGAGAATTATTGGCTTTGGAAGGAGGGATCAAGGCTGGCTTTACAGGGAATGAGGCAAGAATAGAAAAATGATAATATAATACCTCCTAAACATCTTTTTGTATTTTAAGCATTATGCTTGACGTTTTAAATAGTAGCAGCTGATACGTAGTGTGCGTGCATGTGTGTGCCTGTGTGAATTCTCGCTGCTCACAGAAACCAGGCCCCATCCCCATTTTACAGACAAGGAAACTGAAGCCTAAAGAAGGTGAGGAACTTGGCAGGGTCGCATAGATAGGATCTGGATGAGCTGGGATTTAAATCCAGATAGTCAGATTCTAGAGCCTGTTTTGGTAACCACTTTGTTATAACATAGGCCATGCATGAGTTTTATCTCCATTCATCTGCACAACAACCTTAAAAGTCTTACCAAACCCATGTTATTGACTCTGTGATCATGAGACGACCCGGTAGCTCTTGTACGTGACAGAGTTGGCTCCTGTTTCCCCCGAGGCTCTCCCCTGCTGCCATCAGACCGGCTTCAGTTTGCTTTCTTAACTGCGAGGACTGGTTTTGTTATGGCTGCATTCTTTATTCTTCCCTTGTCCTCTCCCTGCTTTCTTTCAGGGAACATCATTAAGAATGAAGCCTTGTACAGAGCTGGGATCCATCCCCAATCTCTTGGTTCACTCCTCAGTCCTCAGCAACTTGAGATCCTCGTGGATCATGTGGTGGAGTTCAGTGCCGACTGGCTTCACGGCAAGTTCCAGGGCAGACAGCAGCACACGCAGATCTACCAGAAGGATCAGTGCCCTGCCGGCCACCGGGTCATGAGGGAGGCCTTCGGGCCTCCAGGTGGCTTCCAGAGGCTCACCTGGTGGTGCCCACAGTGCCAGCCCAGGCTGTCCCCTGATGAGCTGGAGCAAGGTCAGCTTTCCTAAGGCACTTGGGCCTCTTCATCACAGAACCTTGCCCTTTGGGGGAGCATGATGTTCAAGTGTCAAGAAAGGGAGGGTGGGTGGGGATTAGGAGTGGAGGTAGAATGAGGCGAGAGGTCAGGAAGACGTCAGTGCTGCTGACACTCATCTCACTAAAGTTAAATCTAAGGCAGAGTTTTCACAGGGTTAGATTTTTTCCAATGTTGATTCTTTTTTTTTTTTTTAATTAAAAGAAATTGTTTAATCCTCACCTGAGGGCACTTTTTCGTTGCTTTTAGAAAGAAAAAGACAGAAACATTGATAACGGTAAAATCAGCAAGTGGTTGCCTCCTGTATGCCCCCCGCCAGGGTTGGTGTTCCAACCCACTGAGCCACACCGTCCAGGGCAAATGTTGGTTGGCTAATGCTTCCTGTGGACTCCTGCCATTGTGAAAGATGAAAAACCTTTTGATAACAGGTTAGGGAAAAGCCTCCCAGAATGACACTGGGGTAATGGAAATATAAGTCTATGGGAAATAGCTATGCCCCAACACTGCTTGGTTTGGTTTAGTTTGGTTTGGTTGTTGAAAGGTTGGCTGGTTTTAAGGCCCTTCGTCTGAGAAACAGGAACACAGGTTTGTCTTTTTTCATTCCCCTGGAGGGACCCAGGGGTGAGGTTAAGAGTCATGCTCAAATTCAGCCTCCAGCCTGGAGGGATGGAGACACCAGGAGAAGGGGTCAGGGGAGGAGGGAGGCCAGGAAACTGGCCACCTGTCTGGTGTACTCAGTGGGCTTTAGAAAAGTAGCTTTTTTAGAAAAGTAGCTACTTGTTTCCTCCTCGAGGTGATTTACTTGTGATCGTTGCTATGCCAGAATCAAGGGTTGTAGAGACCCGGTAAAGTTGTTAGCAACAGCTGGAGGAAACTAGGACACGAAAATAAAGCTCTTTGCGATTTTCTCTGCTCATCTTTATTTGGCAGGAACAGTTCCTGCAATGTAAGTAACTGAATTCTTAGTGAAGGTGGCTGCATAGGACTTGTTGAGGTGGCCTGATAGAGCCACTTACAAGGAGCTGGGCAGGGAGCGGGGGTGAGCTGACACCTGACCTAGTCTCCTGTCCTTTGGGGCACTGCATTGGCAGCAGATCTGGTGAAGCAGGGATGGATTTCACTTCTGTTGCCCCAGCCTCTGGCAGGTTGGCCTTAGTGATTTGTGTGAGTGAAACTGGAAATGGGCTAATGTTTCTGGCTTTCCTTTTCTCTCACCTTCTTAAGGAATTGAGAGTTGTCAGTAGTGGGTAAAGCCACTTTATGGCAGACCTATAACTGTATAATAGTTCATATATACTGATTGCTTACTATGAAAAGCTCTTAGCTTAATTCTTGCTATATAATCTGCAAAAAACAAAACAAAAACAACCACATGAAGATAGGTAGTCACTCTTACTGTCCTCTTACTGAGGACACTGAAGTCTACACAGGATGAGGAACTTGCTTGAGTTCCCATGGTTAACTAACAAGGGCCAGGGGCACATACTTATTATCCATACATTGTATCCCCCCCTCTATCGGGCTTGGGCAGCTGCACCACAGGCATGGGTCAAGTCCTGGCTGACGTCATTAAAGGTATGTCCCACAAAATAGCCAGCAGTTGAGCTGTACAGGTTGTCAGCACCGTCACGGACAGGGTTCTGCATGAAAGAAACGGGGAAGTGGGAATATGGACAGCTAGCAGAAGCCACATCTGCAGTGCCTCTCCTTAAGATTTAATTCATCATGGCAGGAGGCGCTCAACAGCAGTTTTAGTTTTGTTCTTAATGGAGGAAGGGAAGGGAAGAAAAGAGGTAACAGTGGTACAGAAACAGCAGGGGTAGGGAATTGAACAGAGGGAATTATGCCTCTTGTCCATGTCCCTGGAGGATATAAGGAGAGGCTTTTCCTGACGGAACTGTAGATGAGGGACATAGAGAAGGTGAGTCCAGGGTTCCTGAGGAGTGAAGAGAGGTGCAGTATTCGTAGTCAGCACATTCCAAGGGACGTGTTAAGCACAACATGAGCTTGAGTTCCCAGATTATTAACATGAAAAACTTGGAATTTAACGTTACGTTTCAGTGGCCTTAGCTATTCAATAAATATTTCTTAAATGCCCCCTAAATGCTAGGTTTGAAAATACAAGGATCAGGATAAGAAAACCCCCACACCAATAGGAGACTGTCTTGTTAAAAAGAGTGTTGAAAGTGTTTCAGTAGGTTATGAAAGAAGTGCTCTGTGATGGTGGGGAGGAGAAGCAAAAGATCCAGTACAGTCCCAATTTCAAGCATTGATACTCAACAAAAAGTAGTGGCTACTTGTTAGTGGCGAGCACTGTGTGAGGTGTTACGATCTCTGACTTTGAGGAGTTCATGGTGAGGTGAAGAGTCAGATAAAGCATAAGAAGACAAAGTTTAGGATGAGAATAGCCACTGATGATGATTGAAGTACTGAGGTTTGTGGAAATAAAGACCACCTAAATAAGAACAAGCAAATAACGGTCTTTGTAATCAGAGATTGCTATGTAGCAAGGGCATCAGGTACCATTACTGGTATTTGGCAGAGACTCAAAGGCAGGCTGGCAAGTGGGAAAGCTTTATAGTGAAACAAAGGCAAGTCACCAGGTGTGCTGAATTGGAGGCGGTGAGCATGGGCAAGCTGGAAGCAGGCTAACTAGTGGTAGTGCAGTGTCTTGCGCAATTGGTTTGGGGAGCATCTTTGGCTTTCTGTGGTAGGTCCTGTGTTGGAAACGGGGACAAAAATAGAGAAGTACTGGATCAAATCCTGACCATTCCAGGCCAATTGCTGCAGAGGTTGTGGGTTAGAGTGCTGATACTGTAAATGGTTTCTCTGTTTGTTCATGCAGCCTTCAGCTGGACATGTAGGTTAGACTGTGAGCTGGATTAGGCTCCCACTATGTCTCTAATTGCCTTCCTTTGGACTGGAAGCTCTTTGGGATAGAACATCATCTTACTCAACTTCATTTCCAGTGCTTGCCACATTGTCAGTGTTGAGTGGATGTTTGTTCAATCTGAAGAGCAAATAAAGGAGAAGCCTTTATCAGTGAACTTCAGAAAAGGATTCCTGAAGCAGAGTGTTCCACCTGAGCTATAATGAAGGCATGGCAGTAACTAGGTGGTAAGCAAGGAAGGGCAGTCCAGGCATTACTAGGGTGAAGACCTGGGGTGTAAAATTCTGTGTCCTCTTTAAGAAATGGAAGTGCTGCCAGGACTGAATCTGGGTTTGAAAGAAGTGACTGGATAGGAGGCTAAAATTCAAAAGGCATGTAGGTGCCAAACGATGAGAGAATTTTTATTCTATGCCAGAGTTCTTGATCTTGTCTTAGAAGGCATTTCCTTTGAGGAATTTAAAATTGAGGGGTTCTCAGCAAGAGAGTAACAAAATCAAGTGTATGTTTTAGGAAGATGGGAAGTTGTCCTCAAAATAGTTTTGGAGAGGAAATGGGGCTTACACCAAGATGGAGTGGAGAGGAAAGATTGAGACATATGTTTGTTTCTTGGATTCCACAGGATTTGATGAATGATTTCAAAGGGGTATAGAGAGAGAAAGGAGCTAAGGATAATGTCTGGATTTTATCATTCACAACTGGGAGGCTGTTAGTGCCATTCACAGGAGAAGCATATTCAATGGGAGAGAGACTTCAGTTATTCACATGCTAAGTTTGTGCAGTGTAGGGGTCATTAAAGAGGAGGTTTCCTAGATGCAGCTCAATTCAGTAAGTATTCATTGTACACCTGGTATGTGCCAGGCATGATTCTGAATGCTTCAGGGTGGGTTAATAAACAAAACAAAGACCTGTCATCATTGAACTTACATTCTAGCAAGGGAAAACAGCTAATAGATATCATAAGTAAATTATATATTAGAATGTGAAAAATATTATGGGGAAAAATTAGAGTAGGATGGAGGATCAGCAGTGGTAGTGAAAGGATGATCCAGGTGTGCCTAAATAAGGTGCCTGAAACCTTTGAGGTTCCAGCAAAGACTTGAAGGAGGTGAAGGGGTTCGCTAAATGGATCCCTAGGAGCGAACTATTGCAGGGAGAGGGGAGTAAACAGCTAGACAAAAAGGCACTATGGCCAGAGAGAAAAGTAAAAGTTGGATGTCAGGCAGGTAATGGGGATGCAGGGCTAATCCTGCAGAGCTTTGTAGACCCTTGTAGAGCCTTTGGCTTTACTGAGTGAAATGGAGAGAAGTTGTAAGGTTTTAGGCAGTGATCTGATCTGACAAATTTTAGAAGGATCCTGGTGGCTGTGTTCAAAGAATTGGAGGGTGGCGGACTGTGGTACCAAGTAGTTTCTAGGGCTTGTGAGAGGCCTAGGGTGGAGATATAATTTCCATATCACCTTTGTATGTTGTGGGAATGTTTGAAATCCTGTTTTGGGGACTAAGTGGGTCTAAGACAAACACTTTGAAGAGGGTAGCTGAAACTCTTAAGAGGAGCAATTGACATCACCCTGAGAGAAGTGAAAGTGCTTTGCGGGACTGAAGCCCCACAAACGGGAGTTTTACTGCTGGGCTGGATAGCAGGTATTCCACGGGGCTGCATGTGGAGTGGGAGGCAGGTGAACGGTATTGTGCGGTGTTCCCTGTGAGTTGGCCAAGCTTTTGCATTGTTTGTGTGCTGTTGGCAATAAAGAACCGACAACTTGGATCCACACGCCTTTTAAATATTCTGCAATCGGGCGCGACCGCGAACGCGGCACCTCAAGAAGAGCTCATTTGGCCAGCAGGATAAACAAAACTAAGCGGAGGGCTTGTTGACAAAATCGTGGCGGGCTCTTGACCGCCCCGCTGGACTCTAACCGGACGCCCAAGCCAGAGTCCGACTTCACTACGTTGGAGGTCCGGGCAGGGTAGGTTCGTGCCCCCAGGCCCTGGAAGGGCAACTGGAGGAAAACAAAGGCCCGCCCCGGGTTGGACCACCAGTCCTGCTCGCCTGCCACTACGTCACACTTCCTTTGGTTTCTACGG